TGGTTAGCAGTGTAATAGAAACCAGAGACCTCTGCACCTACTGAAGAGCGGCTGGATGAGAAAGAACACACAGGGCAGAGAGATTGGGAGGAGTACAAAGAGAGAGTTACTAAGTGTCAGGAAATGCTAGCAGCCCAGACAGGGCAAACTCAACTCTGCCCTCTGTCTCTCTGTAATAAAACCTTTACAGTTTTCTATTCTTTTTGTCATGTAGGACAAATCCAATGTTATTAAGTTTTTAAGATCCTCTACAAGTGTTCTTACAAAGATCACCTGAAATTGCATTAAATTCATGTATTACATTGGAAACAAGTAGGACGTTTACAGGGCCGAGCATTTGTATCCAGGAGGGAGGACCTTCAAGCTTCCTATACTTGGGACAGCTTACATCTCTCTCTATGCTTCTGGCTGATGGAACATTTTCTTGCAGACTTGCAGACTGTCTTTCCTCTCATTTCCATGATCTGGTAGTTACCAGGGAGGGCTATTTGTTTTTAAAAACCAGTATCTACCTTTATTAGTTTTGATGCTTTTAAGACTGATTATCAAGGTTTACCTAAACACAAAAGTTGACATTCCATATACATCATAGTAATTTTTAATTCCTGAACATTTAGTAAGGCTTTACTTTATTAGTATTCCCTGAACTCTGGCAAATGGAAGTGGCTTGAGTAGGAATTCTGGGATTTAATGGAATTCTGTTAATATGGTCATATTCATATGAATATTAGATAAACTAGATGTTTTAATGCTGTTCTGGTTCCTACCATGTCTGTATTTCTGCTTCTTCTGTGCAGCCGTTATGTCTGAAAGCACTGGAAATGGACAACAAGCATTTTCTATACACTGCAACTATATTACAGGCAGTGAGTTTTACTAACATAGCCCCACTGTCCCATTTTGAAGCTTTTCTCCTTCAATTCTCTTTTCTACAATGCTAATATTACTATTGCTAGCTACTGGATCTGTCTTATATACTAGAGACAGTTCTTTTACCTTTAAAAAAATCAAGTAAAATATATTTCCAGTCCTACCAGTATAACAAATAGATACAAGCATAATACATATATATGCATAAGTAAACATGCATGCATTTATACTTATAGACTAGAATTACACCTTTCAAAGATTACATACATACATACATACATACATACATACATACATACATACATACATATCCCTCTTTCTCCCTGCCATTCTGAAGACTGAACATAGACTGACATATGCAAGGCAAACTGTCGACCACGGAGTCATAACCCTCCCACCTATTTTCATTTCCCAACCCAAATCCATTGGCATTTTAAGCATGTAGTAAACAGTTTTTTTTTTTCTTTTGAATTGTTTTAATTGGGGTTGGGGGTTTAATTGTCTTTATAAATGCCTACCTGAGCCATACCAATCCTTTCTCTTTTGTTAGATTTTATTGGAGGTGTTAACTGATTCAGTTTTATAGGAATTTTATTTTCCTTTATAAATAAAAGAAAGCATGCTGGGGACTAGTGGAATACAGTTTACAAATAGAAGACAGAGAGCTTCTGAGCTGTCTCTGGCTCCTCAGGAGGTTTCCAGTTGTCTTGTCTCCAGAAACCACTCTGTCTGGACTGAGAGCTCTTGGAAATTAGAACTGGACTTCTGAGATTTGGCTGACTAACACAGGAGATGTCTCTTAGTATCTTATCATTCAGCCTTCAGGAGACACTGTGCTCTGTAAACCTCTGTAAACTCTATGGGCAGATCATTTCCTTCCTTCCTTCCTTCCTTCCTTCCTTCCTTCCTTCCTTCCTTCCTTCCTTCCTTCCTTCCTTCCTTCCCTTTCAAGACAGGGTTTCTCTGTGTAGCTTTGGAGTCTATCCTGGTACTCACTCTGTAGACCAGGCTGACATCGAGCTCACAGAGATCCGCCTGCCTCTGCCTCCCAAGTGCTGGAATTAAAGGCATGTGTCACCAACGCCAGGCAGATCATTTCTTGTTAGGCAAATTAGGGGCCAGCTGAGATCTCATTCACTTTAAAGCTTATCTAAAACAAAACTTTTAAGCTGCCTCATGTGCATACCACCCTGATTTCTAACTGGATTCCACTGGATCACAGCAGAAATAAACATTCACTAGGGAAAGTCTGCACCCCACCAGCTGTAGGATGTTCTCTCTGGCAAGCTCTTCTCACAAAGCTCTCCTTTGGACCTTGCCTATTTGTAGATTAGACTGGATGCAGTGCTCACCCGAGTTTTCAAGCAATCATGTTTACAGGCCCTTCATCACCTTGGACAGAATGGTTGACTTAATCAATGACAAAATTGAACTTCTCAGACTCCTCCTTGTGCAGGGTCCTCCAGTCAGAGGACTTTTTGCTAGGAGAAACCAAATCTATCTCCAGATTTTAGGGATTCTTCCCAGGCTTCTGGTTTACTTAGCCACACCTAGCTGACTAGAATGAAAAAAGATTCAACACAGAAACCGTTACCAAGGTTCTTATCTACAAGTGGGCTGTATTCCTGTGGATGGTTATGTCTCCTATTTCCCTTTGTCATGCTTCATGTCTCTTAAATATTGGAAATTTTTAATGCTCAAAATTTGGTGGAGAACTAACAGGTTGATATGATTGACTATGCTGAAGGTGAACCATAAAGGGAAATGGATGCAAAATTTCAGATAGTTTTCATATTTCTAGCCCCCAAATACTTAACAGCAATGAAGGAAACACAATGCCAGGCATACACATCAGCTCAAAACTACAGCAAAGAACATGCTTTTTACAAACCTACTGGATGTTTTCAGAATCAGCTAGGGTCCCAACATGTTTGTAAAAGTTTCTCTTCAAAATTACATTTACATGAGAACTGAGAGAGAAGGTGACAGGGAGAGAGAGGGAGAGAGGGAGAGGGAGGAGAAGGGGGGAAGAGGGAGAGAGAGGGGGAAGAGGGGAAGAGGGGAAGAGGGAGAGAGAGAGAGAGAGAGAGAGAGAGAGAAAGAGAGAGAGAGAGAGAGAGAGAGAGAGAGAGAGAGAGAGAGAGAGAGAGAGCCTGTTCCAATGCAGCTCTGTTGGTGGGTCTACACCATTTCCTCTGTTCTAGGAGAGAAGGTAGCACACTGTTTCTGCAGGCATAAGTGATGCTTAGAGGAAAATTAAATCATGGAATGATGGCGGGGCTGATTATTCTACTGTGCTTTAAAGGCAAGAGATTGCAGTCTTCGAGTCCAAAGTGGTTTCATATGGACTGCCACAGCTGCGGTTTACTCTTGAAACTATAACCTGTCAAATTAGAAGCAGGCAAGGCCTCTGCTCTTAATGGTTCCACTCTTTACTTCTACTGTCTATAGTTATGTCTAAAAGTCTATCATTTTTTATTCAGTTCAACTATGTCATTTGGATGAGTAAAATATGGAAACTACTTGTCATCTTGGCAGGAGAAGGTTCTAGTATGTTGCAGGCTTAAAGAAACAATCAATTTTAGGCTTGCTGTCTGGATAAGGCTGACTTCTATTGTAGGTGTCCTTACTGAGTTTGCTGTTATTTCATTATCTTGGTTAACACTGTACAGTGTAAGCACAAGATGGGAAAGTGGTTCAGGTGTGTAAGCACTGGAGTGGTTTCTGCCTCTGGAGACTTGGTTGACTTTACTGAGCCAACATCCTTCCCGCTCTGTTCTGCTGCTGGGAGCCTAGTATTATAAACGGTTCCATCCCAATCCCCTCCCTTAACTGTAGAATGACCTTCAAGCAAATTACTTGTTTAGCTGAGATGTGCCTCAAAGAAATTGATAAGTCAGGTGTTCAATTTTACATAGAATTTTGGTTGAGTACTCCTTTCCTGACTCTCTACATGCTCATCTCATGATATGAAATATTAGAAACTAAAGCACAATTTGCTCCCTAAGCAATGCATCATAAGCGAAACCATTCCCTAGAAAATCATATCCTGTTGAGGCCATAATGACATCAGAAATATGTGTTTATCATCTGTTTTAGACAACTTAGCAAATTTTTGGCCCACAACAAAGTTGAAGTAAAACCATTTGTAGTTGCCTCAAAGAAAGATAACCACACTTTCCTAAGGTAATTGATACCTAAGAGGATACTGTCTTCAGATCACAGCCCTGGATCTAGGCATGCTAATTCTTAAAAGAAGGTTGTTAAATTTACAATGCATGGATGTCAACTGGGCTTCCTCCAGAACTCAACGGGAAATAATTCTCCTTTTAGCATGCATAGAGACCACAATGAAATAGGCATTTAGAAACTACCTTGGAATTCTGGAATTACCTCTCTTGCTCAACTTAAGGAGAAGGGGGAAACTGAGATTCCTTTTAGAATGTAAAAGCGTAATAGTCATAGTGAGAACTAAGAATACTAGTGTGTTTTGGAAAGCACTCAAATGAAATCAATCATTACTTTCATTTTTCCTGGAGTATATTTAAAGAAGCAGTGATTTAAAGTATAGATAGCTAAGGTAAACAGAAGACATACAATTTTTATATTCATAGTGAAAACATGTGTAGGTAATGCAAATATGTCACTTGCTTTCTGTGACAGTGATATAAAGCATGTAGCTTCCCTGGACACCACCTTAGCCAGTGAGGTCAACTGCAGCTGCCAACAGCAATCTGAAAGGCAGCTCTTCACGCTGTGTGCCAAGACAAAAGCACCAAGAATTACCTTTGCCCCGCAGGCAATTGGATAATTTGGAAAAAAAAAAAGTTAAGTAAATATTTAATCTAAAGTAGCCTGAATGGAATAAAATACAACAGCAAATGTCAGATACAGACAAGTGAGTGCTTGCCACTTCCAAAGAAGAAAATAGAGAATCAAAACCCAAGATATTTCTCAAAGTCAAGTGGAAGCAAAGCTTCCCTTCCCCAGCTTGCTCTTGAGTGTGCTTCCCAGACAAAGTCACTGATCTGGACATGGCAGGCAAGAGTCAAGGCCCCTGGACAAGAAGCCGAGAATCCAGGCACTGAGCTGGCCGGTACACTGCTATGAAACACAACGACAAGCCATACCTCCATTCTTTCCTGTTTAACATCATCAAGTTCGTTGTCCTCAAACATTGCCAGAAGCTCTCCTGTCTGGTCGATAGAGTTGATCAAATCCTGAGCGATTTTCTGTCTCTTGTTTGTACTGCTGCTGCCACTCAGTTTTTCTTAATGGAGATTAGAAAAGAGAAAAATAAATGTCCTGAGAAGGGACATTACCATCAACCAACATATATAGCAAACACTGCATGTGACATTCACACACAATCACCTTTACAGAGAAAACTCTTGCCTCTAAAACAAGTCATACAGAAATCAATCACTTACTAATATCACAAAATAAAAAACAGACAGAATGAAATCACATTATTAGTTACCATAATAAGTGTGAAAGGGCTGACTGAATCCCTTATAAAAGGGAGAGGGGATCTCAGGTTTGGTAAGAATATTGTTCCATAGTACTTATAAGAGAAATAAAACACAACCAGGAAAGAGGGTATGCTAGGTAAACACAAGCAAAGAAGGCAGAATTCACAACTACTCATGCTATAAAACACAGTTCATGACCAAAACTGCACACGAGACAGCATAGTATATTGTCTAATGAAAAAGGAAGACTAACAGGCATACTATTTTATAGAATCAAGATAACAGAGAAAAATCACAAAAGAAACCTACTAGAAAGTATAATCAATGAAAGATATGTGAATGCTTTGCTTTCAAAATTTGACAATTTATGTTAAGGCCATAAAAAACACAAGTGCTTCAGCACTGAGAGTAGCACCCACAGAAACAAGGTAGTCTATTTTATCAAGTCATCTTCTTCTAAAATAAAAACTTTAATGACTATATATATTCACAGCAAGAGCTGAGATGTAGCTGTGTAAGGCCCTGTGTCCAATCTCCAAAATCAAGGGTCGGGGGAGGACATAAATACAAACACTCAACAATATTACATGTACTACTTTCTCCTATGTCCCCCCCCCCTTTTCCTGTCCCTCACTTCTCGTTATGTTACCCACCAATCCCCAACTCAAGACACAGCTCACAGTGGCCATCCTGTATGTGACCACCATACATTTTTCTGTGCTCATATATTCACAATATATTTCTTTACACATGTGCTTTCTTCATTTTCTTTAAAAATAGACTCATGCACAGTCTTCCTTTATGAAGAGAGAGAGGCTCTTTTATCCTTTCTTCTGTCCATATTTCCTAGTGGAAGACAGAAAAAGATCTCTCTATCTTCATGGATAAGCCCAATTCTTCTGTAAGGCTTGCATAACCATCTATATCCAATATATTTACTAACATGGCTTTCAATCCATTCTCTGTTGATGGGAAGACACTGTGTCAATTTTTGCACTGGGTATCTCATTCATAGGTGTGCTCTGTCTTCATTGCTAAGAGTGGAAATGTTACAGACACTTCAAGTTTCATGAAAGCAATCTGAAGCTGTCTTCTACATTTCTTCCCAGAACTCCAGCAAACATCTGGTGAATATAAAGGGAAGTACTGTAAAGTTAACCCTGTAGTCAACAGGGATTTCAGCATCTTCTCATGTTTGTTTTCTATCCGTGTTTATCTATGATAACAAGGACTCTTTCCTATTGTCCTCATTGTTTCTGCCTGTCTGTTGGAGAGCATCTTTTGTTATAGAGTAATCTAAAATTTTTATATTGTTGTTATTTTTAACTTTTGATTTCTACTTCCACAGTGTGAAGTTTCAATTTTCAAGTTTACTTTTCAGATTTACCGTTTTCTTCATTTTGTTTTTTGTCTTTACGCATCTAGAATTTATTTTATATATAGATAATACTATATGTTCACCTCTAGTGTCTTTAAAATATATGTACAGCACCACTGATACGTTTTCCTGTTATATTGAAATTTTGTCAGACCTCAAATTTCTGTGTCTTAGATTCTGTTCCTGGACATTCGAGCTTGTGCCCGTCTTCCATATACAAAGTCCTCAACAACATCACAGGGTTCATATATACACTTACTCTTCTATTTCATACTTGTAGGGAGCTGCAGAAAACCGCACCCAAAAGATGGCGCTGGTTTCCGCCTTCCGCCAGCCCGACGGCGAGCGCTCTCTGTGGTAAACAACTCCAAATATGGTAGAGGTCATGTATCCTCTTAATTCTGCTTGGAGACAACCTATCCTGGCGCGCCACGTAGGGTTAGGTGATTGGTAGATGTAGACTATATCAGGCCCCGTCTCCCTCGGCCT